AGCTTTGCCATGGAGCAGCTGTTGGGCTCTTTCCATCCTTTCCTTGCAGCAATTGCACTAGTTTCCAGCAGCATTCCAAGTTGTGCTGCTGGGTGGAGCAAGGAGTTCTTGCCTCCCAAGTGCTCCGGGACAGCCCTGTCAGTGCCGAGCATCGTTGGGGACAAACAGCAGCTTCCAAAGTGCCTTCTGAAACATTTTGTCATCATCTCAAAGCTGAGCAGTAATTGATGTCGGTGGGTGGCAGAAAAGGGTGATAATTTGTTCCTGTAAATCTTTTAAGTGCATTAGCAGGCTGTGTTGGTAACAGAATATCCAGAATTTTCCCTGCAGATGCTCAGCTCGCACAGGCTGCCTGGCCAAGAAGACAAAACCCCTCAAAAATTACCTTGCCTTAAGGGTCTGCTTGTGAAAAATGGTGATAAAAGATCCATGTGTAATCCTTGTGTGCTGGTGGTGGGTGAGAGGTGGCTGGGGGGAGTCCCAGAGGGTCTGGGGTGGTGTTTGGGTGGTTGTCTGTCACCCTCGTGACCTTTGCTTGGGGCAGGATCTGGGGTGCCCAGGGGAGCTCCTGGCTTGGAGAATGGGTGGCTGGTGTCCCTGTGCCTGGAGTGGGTGGGTGCTCAGCTCCTGGCCTTATTCAGAGGCCAGTTGTAGAATGGGTTGGGTTGGAGGGCACCTTAAAAGATCATCCAGTTCCACCTCCCTTGCCATGAGCAGGGACACCTCCCACTAGACCAGGTTGCCCCAAGCCCCATCCAGCCTGGCCTTGAGCACATCCAGTGATGGTGCTGCACAACTTCCCTGGGCAAAGTGTCCCAGAGTGTCCTGCACAGCAATTCCTAAACTCATTTATAGCATCTAGCCAGTGCTTCTTATCTTCAACTGGCTTTCACTCTCCAAGGGGGAAGGACCCTCAGCCCAGCTCTCCAGGACAGAAGCCCACGCAGCCAGGTTTGCAGGGACTTGCCCAGGGCAAGCTGGAGGGACAGTGAGCTGGCAGAAGATGCCCGTGGTGCCTGTGCTGTGTGTGAACACCCCTTTCCCATCCCAGAGCTCACACCTTTTCTCTCAGGCTTTCAAAGATACTAGGAGACAAGCCAGCATCCTCTCACAAACACTTTTTTTATTGTTAAAACCCCAGTCATTGTGCTTGTTTCTCTGTATTCTTACTGAAAGGCAGACTTGGAGGTTTATGGCTTGTGAATCAGCGAACGGCACAGCCTGCAGTCCCCACGACTGTTTTGTTCAGGAGCTGTTTTATCTCCAGGTATCCTCCACAGGGTGCAAGGATTTATTGTTTCAGTAAATTGATTTTAGTGGAGCGCCGTTTAGTCAGAAATAGGTCTCTTGTTTTGGGAAAGGTGCCTCTCCAGCTATTTTCTCCCTCCCCGTGCAGGGATTCGGCTCACACCACGACAAGGAGGAGCTGAGAATTCATTTAGCAGAAGGAGATTGCTCCTTCATGCCACATAAATTAGGATATTACCGAAATAATTGTAATGGAGAGCGGCGTTGTGTAAAGGAATGTGCCTGGTGGTTCTCCCAGCCCTGGTGTTGGGGCTCCAGTGCCAACCCAGTGATCCCAGCATCTTTGGGATCAAAGCTTTAAATGGGGGTGTTTCAGGTGCCATCTGGGCAGCTTCTGGGGTGCCTGAGGTGGGAGCCTGGCTGGCTGTGGAGATGGTGGCAGAGACCCAGAGAAGAGCTTTCTGCTGGGAGCAAGAGTTCAGACAAAAGTCTGGGTCCCTGCCTGTTTTCCTGAGTCAGATCTGGAGACCTCCTGTAGTGCCCCATCATCTGGCACCTCTTCTCCTCCTCCATTTCCAAAGCAAAGTCCTCCTGCTCTCCTAGGGGGTGCTTCCTTTGGCCAGAAGCAGGCTGCCCACCAGCATCCTGCTCTGGGCTGAGAGGGGAGAGCTTTTCTCCAGCTGGGATGCAGTGGTGATGGTCCTTCCCACCCTGGGGTGACATTGGGGGGGTCCCATCCGACCCAGTCACCATCAGCATGCCCAGTGTCAGTGGGCTGAGGATACAGGTGGCCTCCTGGAAGGGCTGGTGGGACACAGAGCATTTTATTCCTGCTTGAAGTGTTTTAAACGTGGCTCCAAATCAGCAGTGATGATATTGGCCTGAGATTGAATTCTCACATCTGCCTGTGTCCCTCTGGATAGAAATAAGATCCCTTCTCAGTCTTCTCTTCTCCAGGCTAACCAGCCTCAGGGCTCTCAGCCTTTCCTCAGCACAGTTCCAGTCCTCTCAGCATCTTCACAGCCTCTGTTGGGCTCTCTCCAGTAGTTCTTTGTCTCTCTTGAACTGGGGAGCCCAGAACTGGACCCAGTACTCCAGATGTGGCCTCACAGGGCAGAGCAGAGCAGGAGGAGAACCTCCTTTGACCTCCTGGCTGCACATTTCTTACTGCACCCCAAGGTACCCTTGCCCTTCCTGGCCACAGGAGCACATTGCTGGCTCATGGGGAACTTTTTTTGGAGAAAATACCTTTCTCTTGGTCAGCAGGTAGAGTCCACAGTCCTGGTGGGGGTCCCAGGCATGGCTTAACTCCTGGATATGGCTGGATTTATTCATCAGAGCCAAGATCAGTATCTGGATCTATACTTTTCCTTCCCTGGGGACAAGATCAGTGTCCCTTGTGCATGGACACAGGGAGTGGGTTGGAGTATTTTGGGGGGGTTTTACTCTTGAGCTGGCCTTGATCAATCCAGAATGGCATTTTCACAGCCCAAAAAAAAAAAAAAGAAGACAATTTTATGAATGGAGTTGAAGAGCCCAAACTTGATGTGATGCAGGAGGGAGATAAATGGAGCACAAATGGAAAAAGCTCTTCACCCCCAGGCCCCATTGTTCAGTGTTTCATAAACGATTAATCGCTTCAGCCCCATCAAGTGCAATTGTCAGTTCAATAAGCTCTGAGGTATCCTGAGTGGTGCTTGGCAAACGAGGCCCTAATGTAATTACATCTAAATGGAGGGAGAGCCTGGGTGGGAGGGAGGAAAAGAGGGAGGGAGAGGTCTCTGGGGGTGGGTACCACGGTGGCTGGGAAGAAAACCCTGCTGGGGTGCTGGTCGTGCCCCAGGGTGAGGTTTGGGGTCACAGGGGGCTTTCTGCCCAGGGTGAAGTTGGTGATGCTGGGGCATTGCTGCTGTGGGGGGAGGATCTAGGGGGTGGGATGGGAGCTGGTTCCTTCCACTGGAGGTGAAAGGGGGGATGGTGGTGATGCTGGTGTGGTCCCGACCCTGAGGGCAGGGCAGGGTCATGATTCCTGTGGGATCACCCTCCCTTTCCTTCCTCCCTCTGCCTGCAGCTGCAGGCTCTCTGCCCTTCACTGAGCACGGGGCAGGAAAGAAAGTGTGTGGGGAACAGCACTGGGAACACCTGAATGGGTGTTTTGCTTGGCAGAGTGTAGACCCTGACACCTTGGGAGGAAGGGTGTAACTGGTACCTGGGGTCAGAGTCCCAGATGCAGGCTTGGAAGATGCAGCAAGAGCTGGGTGCTCTTGCTGGGTTGAATAAAGTGGTGGCTTGTGGCTCCTGTAGAGCAGGGGCAGCTCAGGTGGTGTGTTGGCAAAGGGGCACCATGAAGGGAAGAATAACCACAGGATCACAGGGTGGGTTGGGTTGGGAGGGACCTCTAAAGGCCATCCAGTCCAACCCCCTGCAGGGAGCAGGGACATCTGCAGCTAGAGCAGGTTGCTCAGAGCCCCAGCCAACTTCCCTGCTCCTGGGTGAGGTGTTTTCTGCTGTTGCCTTGCAGCAGGCAGGGTGGAGAGCACCATGGGTCAGGCTCCTCTGCTCTCTGGTGCTTTCTGGAGCATCCTGGCCATCGTCACAGATAATATATGCAAATGAAATGCAAAGGTTAAATGGTTTTTATTGCATCCTGCTGGTGTTTCCATCCCCATCAGTGGCCTTCCTTGCTGACAGAACAGAGGCAGGGTGCAGAGGGGACTTAGCTTTGCCTCTTACCCCTCGTGGAGACCCTCACTCCCACTGACAGGTTTTTTGGGTGTTTTTTTTTTTGGTTTCCTTACCTGGAGTGACCTCAAGTTGCATTTGTGGCACTGGGATCTTTGCCTGGGGGCAAGAGGCAGCTCTTTAGGGGGAGCAGTGTTCAACATGGCTCTGTTTTGGTGCTGCTGAGCTCCTGGCAGCAGCATCCCCCTTGTAACTTTGGCCAAGTGTCCCACTGCTGGAGGTTGCTGCTCTGATAAAGCCTCTCCTGGTTATTGGCCTTGTATTTGTGGTTGTCACTGTGGAGAGGGCTCTGGTAAAGCACCTCTGCCACTTCTTTCCACTAAAGACACTGGTACAGGGGGAATAAAAGACAACACAGCAGCTCTGAGCCCACCTGGGTCTGACCTTCTGGTTCCACTAAACCTAACCAGGGGGGAAGAAAACAAAAAAAACCCTCATTTGTCCTCAATTTCAGCCTTTGGCTTCAGTTTTAATTGGCCTTAAAAGGGTCAGTTTTCAATCTTAACAATTAAAGCATTGACTTTGTGTGGCCGGAGCTTGTCTGAGCCCTGGCTGCAGAAAAGCATCTGTGCAAAACTTGTCTCCTTGAACGTTTAAACTGTCAGACCTCATTATCCGCCCTGCTTCAGCTGAATGGGTTTCTCTCCTCTCAGCCAGCAGCAATATTTTGTTACTGTCTGTGAAACACAAACTCCAGCCTGGGTTAGGAGCAGCCTTTTTCTGACTCGCTGCTCTGACCAGCACCTTTGGATTCGCCTCTGGAGTCACCACCTCAAATGCTCAACCCTTTGTAAAACGCTGCCTGGAGGTGGAGGGGCTCCTGAGGTGGAGGGACTCCTGATGTGGAGCTGCACCATCGTCCTGCTGGGCACCATCATCCTGCTGGGCACCATCATCCTGCTGTGCTCCATCATCCTGCTGGGCCCCAACGTCCTCCTGTGCACCAACGTTTTCCTGTGCTCCGTCATCCTCCTGTCCACCAACATCTTCCTCTGCCTTCTGCCTTGCAGAAAAGCCCGAGCTGGATGAGATCACCCTGGAGAGAGTGCTGGAGGAGCTGGAGACCATGTGCTATGAGAACATGAACATTGCCATCGAGACAGAGGAGGGCTTGGGCATCGAGTACGACGAGGACGTGGTGTGCGACGTCTGCCGCTCGCCCGAGGGGGAGGATGGCAATGAGATGGTGTTTTGTGACAAGTGCAACGTCTGCGTGCACCAGGTGAGCCCCCCAGGGGGGTGGACAAGAGGAGGGGTTGGGGTTCCTCCCATCACCACCGTCCCCCTTCTCCCCAGGCAGCTGCAGAGCTGGTTAAGCTCCTCTGATGGATTCCCAGCACGGTGGAGCCGGGACAGCAGATGGGGTGTGGGATAGCTGGCAGAGAGGAGGCTGGATTTGCTTTCCTCTTAGCCCCAACCCTTCCTGAGTTGGGTTGGGAGGGACCTTTTAGAGGTCCAACCCCCCTGCAGGGAGCAGGGACACCCCCAACTAGAGCAGGGTGCTCAGAGCCCCATCCAACCTCCCCTGGGATGGTTCCAGGGATGGGGCAGTGACCACCTCTCTGGGCAGCCTGGGACAGGGGCTCACCACACTCAGGGTCAAAAAGTCTCACCCTCAGGGTAAAAAAAGTCTCTCTTCTCTCCAATCTAAACCTCCCCTCTTTAGTTTCAAACCATCACCCCTTGTCCTGTTGCAACAGGACCTCCTAAAGATTGTCCCCAGCTTTCTTCCAGGCCTCCTTGAAGTACTGAAAGGCCACAGCAAGGTCTCCCTACCCAGCCAGAGGCTGAAAACAGCTTCCTGCAAGTTTACTTTTCCCTCTTCTCCTTATTCTCTGCTCTCTGACACTTGGTTTTATGCCTCTTCTTCCATTAATGTGCTTGTTCCTCCCTCTTGACCCCATCTTTCCTTGTTAAACAGCAGTGGGACCTTTACCCAGGGCTGTGGCTGGGACTGGCTGGTGGGCTGGGAGAGATGTGAGTCTACAGCCCAGCACTCACTGGGCTTACAGGGACCTCCAGTGTCCTCCCCAACCTCACCCTGGGGGTGGCAGGACCTCCCAGCTCCACTGGCACTGTCACACATCCCAGGGATTCTGTCCTGGCTTCTCTGTGAGTGTAGGGTTTCATTTTGTTTTGCTGCCTGGAGGAAAATCACTGTATTTTTAGAACTGAATGCAAATGCTTCAAGCCCTTTTTAAGGAGGAGGGGGTCTGGGCTCTTGGGGGAAACCTTAGCAAGGAGGAAGAAGCCATGCAATGATCTCCTGGGTCCCTTGTAGGTCCAGGGAGGGGTTTGCTGGTCATGCTTTGAGGGGAAGTGCTGGGATGGTGGTGGCAGCTCCTGGGCTTCACCCTCTGTGTGAAGGGTTTGGGGTTTTTTTTTGCCTCTGAAGAGAGCCATTTGCTCATCTTTTGGACATCTTTTCCATCAGTGCTTCCTGGAGGTGGGAGAGCTCTGGAGATATCTATAGTTGCAGGAGGTGGGTGTTTGAATGGTTTCCATCAGTGAATCAGATCCCACAAAATATCAGGACAATTCAGGGTTGGGGGGGTGGCTTTTTTTTGTGTGTTGAGGTTGGGGTTTTTTTTCTCCACAAGCCCAGGTGGCAATGTCAGGCTGTGAGCTGACACACCCTGAGCTAGGGGCTTGGGAGGACGTGGTCAGCATGCCCAGGGCTACCTGGTTGTACCCCTGTGGGCCGTGGCACCCCCAGTCTCTGCTTTCTCTGCTGAGGTGCTGCAGGAGGGGACACAGCAGCCAAGGATTTCAAAGCTTTGGAAAGAAAAAGGAGATTTCTGTTGTTTTCAAGGAGCAGAGTCCAGCCCTAAACCTGATGCCAGCCCATAAGCTGCCTGTGATTTAATCTCTGCCATGATTTATGCCCTAAGCCACCCAGTCCAGAGCCTTGGGGCGTTGGGTGCCCTGGTGTTTCTCATCTAACCCTCCCCCTGCCTTTGCCAGCCTCACACCCAAAACCTGCTGGGGATGATGCTTTCCTGAGGGCATCCCCAGTGCCGTGTGGGTTCAGGGAGCTGGGGTCCCACAGGACACAGCCAGAGCTGTGCCACATCCTCCTGCATGCCAGCAGGATGGGACAGGGGCAGGGTTGTGCTGGACACACACCAGTGGGTTGTGGTGCTGGCAGGGATCATTGTAATCCTCTGCTTTGCATGACACAAGGCTTGCTATTAATTGATTCTGATGAAGCTTTAAGGAGACACAATCTTCATTTTAAAACTTCCAGGAGGAGGAATCTTTTTCCCCCCCCCCCCTGCTGCTAAATCCTTGTGATTCATTGTTCTCACACTGGCAACGTTGTGGTCCTGTTGAGCCCAGGAATGATCCATCTCCAGCTTCCAGCCACCACCTTGCCAGGTCCCCAGCCCTGGGGACAGGGCCACATCCTCCCTCTGTTAGATGGAGCATGGCAAGCTCAGCACCCTCCCCATTTTTTCAGTGTCCCCTTCTTGGTGTCGTTGACCCTGTGATGGGCACAGTGATAAAATAGCTGCTCTGCTTCCCCTCAGCACTGCTCTGACTCTGTGTTCTCAGAGCATCTTCTCCCTGGTGCTGGATGAGGGGAGCATGTTTGGCTCATAACCCACCTTATTTCCTTGTCCTGGACAGAGCCCCTGTAGTATTGGCTCCTAGGAGCAGACTTGTACCTTCAGCTGCTCTGAAACCTCTAAGAAGAAAAAGCAAAGAGCCAAGGCTCTGCTAGAAACACCCCCTGCTAATAATTCCTGTTTTCCCTGGATTTTGCTATCAGTCTGCCAATTATTCTCCTGCTAGTACCTACCAGGCTGATCTTTGTCAGGAATTAAATCACATGTTTTATCAAACTCTGTTACAGAAGTGATTTATCTGGGAGATTTGGAGGCACTGTGAGGCACACAGTGAAGTCTCTCTGAACCATGTAGACTGGCAGCAATAATATTACCTCCCTTAATTCCTTATTATCCCAATAATCTGCTCACAGAGTGGCTTTTTCCCCTTGGAAATCACTATCAGAGTCCATCTGTGCTTTGGGGCAACCTAGGGTTGTGTTATAAAGTCCATTTTTGGCCAGTAAAGACTGAGGATGCACTTTTCCCAGGCTGGTGTGTCCCTGAGTGCTCCCCCTGCCCCTCTCCCCCCTGCAGCACTGTCACTAGTGCCTGAGGAGTTGTCTGCCAGCCTCTGAAAACCCTTTAAGTGTGAGATATCAGGAGCTGCCAGTTCAAAACTGTCTAGTTTTAGTAGTAGCTCTTTAATGCAGTCATAAGTTATGGCCAAAGTAGGAGGTATTTTATCATCATTCTGTGATAAGGGCTTATCATTTGGCTCTTCCTCAAGCAGGGGAGAGAAACAGTTATGAAACACTTTGGCCTCTCTGCACCCTGGGCTATTGCAGCAGGTCAAGGAGCTCTGTGGGTGACCCAGGTCCTTCAGTTCTCCCTCTTTTGGCCATAGACTTGTCCTTGCCTCCTTTAGATTTGTCATCCTCTCTGCTTCCTCCCTCTTGATTTACATTCCTAATTATGGCTTTCCCCTTTTTACCTTCCCCTAGTTGTTTTTGCTTCCTGTTTGGGCTGTGTTGGGTCTGTGGGCATCTTTCTCAATCCTGGGCTTGTGGCTTTTCAGCCCTCAGGGGTTTTCTCCACGTGGTATTTGTTTCTCTGAGTCATCACAGGTCTGGTGGCTGTTGAGGAACGGGCAGATGTCCACACCACAGAGCTGCTGGTGCTGGGGGCTCTGATGGAGCAGCCTGGTTGCCCACCCCCCAGCCTGGACCTGGGTGGATGTCTGGTGGGATACACAGCATGTTTTTATTCTTAGCTTTTCATTTAACACCCAGGACACACTGATCCAGCAGGAGTAGCCCTGGGAAGCCAGGGAAGGTAGCAAGGAAGACCTTGCCCTTGCTGCCTGTGACTGCAGAGCTGCTTTGCCTCCTCTTAGAATCATAGGGTTGGAAAGGACCTCATCAAGTCCAACCTCCATCCCAACATCTCTCTAACCACTAGACCACGGCCTCAAGTGCTGCATTTACACATTTTTTGAACCCCTCCAGGGATGGTGACTCCACCACCTCCCTGGGCAGCCTCTTCCAGTGCCCAACCACTCTCTCAGGGAAGAAATTCCTCCTAATATCTAACCAAAACATCCCCTGGTGCAACTTGAGGCCATTTGCCCTTGTCCTGTCATCAGGAATTTGGAAGAAGAGACCAACACCAGCCTCACCAGCTGGATATTGATCCCTGGGAAAGAAGGGGAGGCAGCAAGGGATGAAGACCTTGCCCTTGCTGCCTGTGACTGCAGAGCTGCTTTGCTCCTCTCCGTGAGGGCGCCCAGACGGCGGGGCGGCGATGAGCCAGCGGTGTGAGGAAGGAAGGTGGGAGTGAAGGAGGGGATCTGTGAGGCTGCTTTTCCTGGGACTGACCCCCTCCCTCGTGTCTGCACAGGCTTGCTATGGCATCCTGAAGGTGCCCATTGGGAGCTGGCTGTGCCGGACCTGTGCCCTCGGTGTCCAGCCCAAGTGTCTGCTCTGCCCGAAGCGAGGGGGAGCGCTGAAGCCCACCAGGAGTGGGACCAAATGGGTCCACGTTAGCTGTGCCTTATGGATTCCTGAGGTAAGATGTTCCCCCACCTCCTCTCGACCTGGGGGGGAGGCAGCAGACCTGGTTTCAAGTCTGGAGGTGGTTTTGGGTGGTGTAAACAGCGGGTGCAGTGTGGCTCCGGGGGGCGGGGCGGGGGGAGGGGGGGGGCGCGGGTGGTTTGGCTCGTGGAGCTGGGCCGAGGGAAGGGCTGTGATGCTGTTGAGGGAACAGCCCAGGGAGGTCTCAGAGGGGGGGTGTGAGGGCACAGAGCTGGGGAGCATTCACCAGTCCTCTGGCAAAGCACAGCTAACTTCATCTACCCATCTGAGATACACAGCAACATCCAAATGAGGAATTAATTCAGAGGAAACACTGGGCATAAAGTTTTCCTTCCGTTTCATCCAAATTTGTTTCTAGCTTTGGGGATTTGTTTGTTTGTTTGTTTTCCCCAATTAGAAGTGACCCTGAAAAATAAGTTAAAAACCCATCCCTTATTCAGACTGCCACAGACATCCCCCCTGCAGGAGGTGTGGGATGGTAGCCAGGATTTACAACTCCTCTCCTGTTTTGTGGCCAGGTTAGCATTGGATGTCCTGAAAAAATGGAACCCATTACAAAGATCTCACATATCCCAGCAAGCAGATGGGCTTTGTCCTGCAGCCTCTGCAAGGAGTGCACTGGAACGTGTATCCAGGTATGTAACTTGGCACTGGAGCAACTTGCTTGCCCAGGGTTGTGTTTGTAGTAGCCACCAGAGATTCCCAGGATGTTTGTGGAGGCAGTCTGGCCAAGGCTTATTCCTGCTCTGAGGAAATTAAGACAAGGGAGCACGAGCACCCATCAGACATCATCAGATGTTGTTTGCAATCATTGAATGTCTTGAGTGCTAGGAATCTAGATTAATTCTCTTTGCATAACACGGTGATGTTGCTGTAGTGACACTAATTACCAGCACTGCAAACGACCTTGGTTTGAAATCAGGAACCTCCAGCAGGAAAACTTGGCATAGCTGCCAGAAAAGTCAGATCCTCATGAGATACATAGCCCAAGTATTTCACAAACCAGTGGGGCTTGGCTGGGAAGCTTTCCAGTTGGGGGGATAGCAGGAAAGCCTGGGATCAGGGAGTCCTCACTAGCCTGCTGGCTTGGAAAATAAAGGATTTACCACATAATACATTCCCCCTTTTTCTCCACACCTAAGGAAACCACTGCAGCCATCAGCCTGCAGCAGCAGCAGGCTGGTGAGATGTTCTCCTTTCAGACCCAAAGCAGGCTGCATTGGCTTTACTGTCACAAAAGTGGGACAGAGCTTCCTGGGCTGTGATCTCTCTCCCCCAGGGAGCAAAGAGCAGAAGGTTCCATCCAAAATGCAGCACAAAGTTCCATCCAAAATGCAGCACACTTGGTGTGAGAGGCTGTGGGGAGCCTTCCTGCACCCAGTCATTCCTCCTGGAATGGGCTGTGGGATCTGCTGCTCTACAAGCCAGGGCCTGTTGCTTTTGTTGGTGGACCAGGCATCGAAGACTGTTTCATCTTGGCCTGCAGGGATGGATGGAGCTACTTTAAATACTGGGAGAAGGTTTGGGATGTGTCTCAGTCCTGACTGATCAGCTCCTGTGCAGCAACAGGAGGTCAGTGTCCACAGCAGTGACTTTTGGGTGCCAGAATAGCTGAGTGGTTGCAGAAGGAGGTCTGCAGGTTTCTGCTGTGTTTGGGCAACTGCCTCAGGTCTCATGCTTTAAACAGAGCTGTTTAAAATCAACCCCCTTTTGCTTGGAATGAAATCTCACAGTACTTCTTTAAATCTCTAGCGTTGACTCACTTCTTTTTTGATGGCTCTGGGTGGATCTGCTTATTCACCCTGCCAGATGGAGATACTGTGTCATAACAGCAGCTGCTTTCAAAGAACGGAAGGGCAGGGAAGGAGGCAAACAGGCTTGGCAGCACCAGAAAGAATTCAGCTTCTCTGAGGCTTCATCCTCTTAGCAGCATGGCATGGGAGCTGTGAGATCCCAGGGACCACGTGGATTCACAGGAAAGGTCGCCTGAGAGAGGGAACAGGAGCTTCATTGTCTCCCATGCCAGCAGCCCCATGGTTTATAAGTCTTCATGAGATTGTCACCAGAGCCACCCTAGCTGCTCAGGATGGGTTTGCTTCAAGGAAAAGGGGGAGAAGGGGGAAGAATTACAAATAAAAAGCAGGCAGTGCCTCTGTGTAAGGATTTATGGGGTAAATCAAGAAGTTCATCCATGGATAAATAAACACGTACTCACCAGCAGTACAGAGCTCTGTTTTGAAAGCTCCTGTTTATGGAGCATATTTTTGATGAGTGCCTGTTTATACAGGTGTAATCTAACTACCTTTGTCAGCATTTCAGGTTTATGACTTAGCTCTGAAAGGAGGTTGGTTTTTGTTGAAGCACTGAGATTTATCCTTGGCAGCAGGCATGGAAGGAATGGAGGGCTCCAGGTGGGGCAGGTCTGGGTCTTGCTTCCAGGAGGGGGTTGGAACTGGGCTTTGCTGAAAAGGGATGTGAAATCCAACCAGCAATGTGGAGGAGCAGAAGACACCTCCCAAAGGAGCAGGAGGATGCTCAGGGGCAGCACCACAGCTTAAGAAAACACCCACCTCAACCACATCTGCGGAGAAAAACGTGAGGTCTTTTTGCATAAGAGGCTCTGTGGTGTGTTTCCCCATCCAAATTTCATCACCAAAGGGGTAATAAGCCCCAGGAAAGCTGAGGAAGGGCTCCCCACTGCTCTCCACTCTCTGACCTTGCTGCTTGCACAACTGCTTCCCTGGCTTTTCTGCTTGAGAGCTGTGAACCCAGCGAAACGCCGCGTGGCCAGAGCCAAGCCAGAGCTGCTGGACTCTGGGCAGGGCTGCAGCCCTCTGCCTGGCTCCTGCTGAGGGGAAGTCATGACTTCATGGTGGTTCTTGTGGTCAGACATCAGGAGGTGCCAAAGAGAGCTCCATAGCCAGCAGGACTTTTCTCATTTGCATTGCTGAGATGGAAAAGAGAGTGCCAGGAACCAGGGTTCTGGTGCAGCTCAAGTCCAAGCTGCACTTGCTTGGCACCCAGCTCCCTCCTCCCCAGCTCCCTCCTCTCTCCTGAGAGGAACTGGAGAGCTCACCAAGGCCTCTCAGTGCAGCACAAACTGCCAGATCCCTGCTGGCTACTGAAAGGCTTCTCCAAAGGACTTGATCTTTTGCTGTCATCATCTACCACCTTTCTTTTTCTTGTTGATTTTTGGAGGAAAAGCTCTCAAAGGGGTGGTGGTGGTTCCCAGAGCTGGGCTGAGAAGCTCTGGCAGGATCCAGGCCCTCTGTGGTCACTAAAGCTGACGTGGTAGCTGTTGTAGGGGGGCAGGGTTGTTGTGGCTGAGGGCTTGGCCGGGGCTCAGCACCGGTAATGGATTTTTCCTTCCTGAGTCCCCTCACAGGTCTGCTGGAGCCACTTCCTGCCCCAGACCTCACCACTGTACACTGGTGAACTCCTGCTCGGGCTCCCTTGGCAAGGAAAATCATCCCTCTGCTTCAAACGCTGGTTTGAGGACTAATTAACAGCCCCTGTTAATCTCTGGGTTCTTTTCTTTGGGGATTTGGGGCTGGATTTGCCCAGATAAGCCCCATGTGCTGGAATCCTTCAATGCAGGGTGTTGAACGAGTCTTCTGAGCCTGGTTTGTCCTCCTGCCCAACCAGGTATCTTGGTGCCCTGTCAGCCAAGCTGCCTCATTATTTTCTGTGTGCATTTTGGGCAGGGTTTCAGCCAAGTGCTGCTTGCCATCTGTTGGAGGAGCAGTCCAGGATGGGAGCCATTCAGTTTGCTTCATCCCTGAGGTGGAGGGATGGTCATTCCTGTCAGCAGGAGGCTGTGCTGGCAGAAGCCAGGGCTGTGCTGCTGGTGCTGGTGACAGGGACAGGAGGGAGGGGACGTTGCTGTGTGGCTTCCATAGCTCAGTGTTCTCTGATGGTGAGTTCCTGGTGTCTGCTTTGCTTGCTGTAAGGGTTTATGTGCACAAGAGGATGCTGTGGTTGGAAGCACCCTCAGCTCTTCTGCCAAACCAGCCAGGATGGAGTGTATCAGGAGTGTGTCAGGAGTGTAGCAAGAGAACATCAGGAGCTCCACAGCTCCGTGCAGCACCATTACCATCTTGGCTCCCAGAGAAGAGAGCTTTCCAGCTGGCAGAGGTCTCCAAAGCTGAGGAGCTGTTGCAGGGAGGAAGGGTGACTCCTTGCATCATCTTGTGTCATGCTCACTCCGTGCCTGCAGGAGCTTCAAAAGCCAGAGTGTGATACCCTGCAGGCACCGAGTAAATGGGGATGCTGCAGGTCAGGCTGGGCCCCCTCTGCCCTTGTTACCACCAAGGAATACTAGAGGACAGAGCTGGTGCTTCAGGGAGCTGAGCTGTGCCAAGCTAGCAGCTGTCTTCACAAAAAAAAATAGCCAAAAGCAGCAGTGTCCAGAGTTCACACACTGGGCAGCTGAGCAGGGGTTCAGGACTGATGGGGAAAGATAAAAAGCCATGAGACTTCTCTGCCTCAACTACTCCCACAAATACTATTTTTTTTGAAATTGTTGAGAATTAAAGTGCAGCAAAGCCCCAGGAAAATCTCTACAGCCTCCCCAACGCCTTGGTGGCAGCAGCCAGGAGGTTTTTCAGATGCCACAACTGCCTCTTCATCCCCCACAAGAACAATTCTTCTAGAAATGCTGAAATACGGTGCCTGGAGTAATAGCCCACTTAAAATGTCTCATTATTGCAGTTTAACTGGTCATTAGCAGCTGGGTTAGACTGATTTCTTATGGGTTATGGTTGAAATAATTACCTGATATTCTGAGCCATTAAAAAACAATTAATGAGTAGAGGGGGAGGAGGTGCTGATGTGGACATGGGCACAGAGCTGGCTGGGGGGGGTTCCTCTGCAGGAAACCAGGCTCAGGTTGGTTACCTGGAGGGTCCAAAGCCTATTTTTAAGTTAGGGAAATGGTTAACAAATGAATCTGTCACAAGTTTGACAACAGTCTAACCACTGGGCTGGTTCTCCAAAGTTCCATTTCATGATGTTTTGCTTTTTAAATGCTGAGTTGCCTTTTTGGTTGCTTTTTAATGGAGCTGGTTGGAGGTTGTGTGATTTTTGGAGGAGAAGAGCACCACGCTCCAGGAGTTTTGGCTGCTTCTGAGATACCACGTTGACTCCAACCTTGTTCTGTGGGCTTTCAATAAAACAGCCTGTTGGGTTTAGATGTGGTATCAGAGTGGAGTAGTTTAAGGGTGAAATACAGATGACAATTCCTCCACCAGGAGAAATCCCTTGACAGTCTTTGAGCATCCCGTTGGCTTGTGCTGTTGTCTGTGGCTGTTGGCATGTCTTGTTGGAAGAACCACTGGAAGCCCCTGCTGATGGTAGGTGAAAGATGAGCAGGGAAGGATGAAAGCAGATAAGGTGGGAGGGTGCTTGCTGGTATCTAGTGAACCCTGGGTTCCATCTGCTTGAGCTGACAGTGCCCAGCTTGTGGGTCTCCTCAGACGTAGGCTGTAGAGACGTTCCTCTGTAGGTGTTGTGGAGCACCTGTTGCATGGTGGTAAGTGCTGGTGCTCTGTGGGGTGTCTCTGGGTCTCTGCTAGGCACTGGTGGCCCCGTGGTGCTGGTGGGGGTGCCCTGCAGTGACAGAGCTGTGCCCTGTCCCTCTCCTGCAGTGCTCCATGCCCGCCTGCGTCACCGCGTTCCACGTCACCTGCGCCTTCGACCACAACCTGGACATGAGGACTATCCTGGCAGACAACGACGAGGTGAAGTTCAAATCCTTCTGCCTTGAGCACAGCACCGGGGCCACCAAATTGCCCGAGGAGGCAAGGACAGAGCCCGACCAAGCCCAGCTGGACTTGGAGAAGGTGACGCTGCGGAAGCAGAAGCTCCAGCAGTTGGAGGAGGACTTCTATGAACTCGTGAAGCCTTCAGAGGTGGCAGAGAACCTTGACTTAAGTGAATCGCTGGTGGATTTTGTCTATCAGTACTGGAAGTTGAAGAGGAAAGCAAATTCTAACAAACCACTGCTGACACCAAAAACAGATGAAGTGGACAACTTGGCCCAGCAAGAACAGGACGTTCTCTACAGACGCTTGAAGCTCTTCATGCACCTCAGGCAAGACCTGGAGAGGGTGAGTAGAGCTTTTCCTTTGATGGTGTACCCACAGGCCTCCATCAGGGCTCCTTTAGTGTGTGCTGGTGCCTGTAGACAGCCCTGTTCACAGTCATAGGGTGTTGGGGGTTGGAAGGGACCTCTGGAGATCATCTTGTCTGATCCCCCTGCTCCAGCAGCTCACCCACAGCAGGGTGCCCAGGGTCACAGCCAGGTGGGTTTGGGATCTCTCCAGAAAAGGAGACTCCACAGCCTCTCTGGGCAGCTGCTCCAGGCTCTGCCACCCTCACAGCAAAGAATTTTCTTCTCCTGTTCAGGTGGAACCTCCTGGGTTCCAGTTTGTGCCCATTGCCCCTTGTCCTGTCGCTGGGCACCACTAAGAGTCTGGCCCCAGCCTCTTGACCTTGAGATATTGATGAGCATTGATCAGATGCCCTCTGAGTCTTCTCAGGGCTGAACATCCTCAGGGCTCTCAGCCTGTCCTCAGCACAGAAATGCTCCAGGTCCCTCAGCATCCCTGTAGGCCTGTGCTGGACTCTCCAGTGACTCCTCATCTCCTTGTTCCCCCTTGGCTCAGCTCACCTCCTCTGTCAGTCGTGTCTCTCCATCTGCAGCCTTACTCAGCAGAGGAAAGGTGCTCAGCTGGAGTGTCTCAGCCCTGCAAACACTGCACTGGTGAGATGAGTTGGTGGTGGTCTCAGCCAGGGGTTCAGAGGAGCAGATGTCTGCAGGGTGAGGTGCCTCTGAGCGGGTGGGAGGCAGATGCTGCTGCTGCTCCACTGAGCTCTGGGTAGTCCCAAACCACAAAAGGATCCTGTGCTGCCCCTCAGACACTTCCCAGCAGCCAGGCACAGCAACATCTCCTCGTTTACTTGGCAGGTGGCAGGAGCCAGCAGCAGGACTGGGCATCCCTGCCCTGCTGCAGCCAAAACTGGGACAGCTCCTCGGGGAGCTGCTGCAGGATGGGGCTGGAGAAAGCTGGAGGATGGAGCTGGAGGAGGGGGTGGGGCTGGAGGATGGGGCTGGAGAATGGGGTGGAGCTGGAGGATGGGGCTGGATGATTGGGCTGGATGATTGGGG